GCGCGCCGGGCACGCACGCGTTTCGTAACGCGTTTCGCGTGCGTGCGTGCGTGCGTGAGGGATACACGCGGGTATGAAAGGTTGCACCGCGAGCGAGCCCGGCGAACGGGGACACGCCGGTGTTGTTGGGGCGGGGGGAGGCAGTGAGCACGCAAGAGAGAGAGAGAGAGAGAGAGAGAGAGAGAGAGAGAGAGAGAGAGAGAGAGAGAGAGAGAGAGAGAGAGAAAGAGAAAGGGATCACGTTTTTCTCGTGGCCGTCGATCGGTCCTCTCGTCGGCTCTCGTCGCGTACTTGACGGCAACGCGAACGATTCCTCTCTGCAGCGTAGGCGTAGGCGCTGCTCTCTGGACAAGCAAGAGGCAGCAAGGTCGATGCGTGGTTGTCTTCGAAAAATTCAGCAGCCGCGCGCTGACGGAAGGCTGCTTGACGGAAGAAGTGGGAAGAACGAGAGAAAGCAATTCGGGCAATCAGCTTCGTCACGAGTCGCTCTTTAGTCGTTGTCTTCAACTTTCTTCCTTCCTTCTCGAGATTTTCAACTTCCTTCTCGCTCCTCTTCCCGAAGAGACCCATGCCCGTTTCTACGCCCGAGCTTGATGAGACTTCCCTTCGCTATAAGGCGTGTTCAAAGTCCATTCAGACGGAGATTTCAATTCGGGTTGGGATTTGATCGACCTTGAAACAACAGGTGAAAACAGGTGTTAAAAAGACGGACGTCTTCGTTCTCGAGCGGCGCCGCTAAAAATTCTCTCCCGACGTGAATCTCCGGCAATGCGCGATTCTCGTTTGCTTCGAGGCCACCGCGAGCCGATAATTCGCCGGCGAACTGGGAAATCGCCGTTGCGACTTTGCGTGTAGGACCCCTCAAAGTGTGTGTGCATTTTGTGTATGTGTGTGACTCCACCTTGGACACTCTCCGTTAACGCGTAGAAACGTACGCCGTGACGTACGACCACCTACGTAATAATCGACCGGGCGAGCATATCGAATCAATAGCGATCGATCGGCTTGTTGTATGGCTCTCGCGATGCGTATCTCGTTGTTGCTGCCCACGCAGATCTCAATTCGTCGTGCTCCACATATATATATATATATATATGTATATTGCTTCCGCCAGCGGACAGAACTGCATAATATCGTGGCGGCGCGGCGGGCTGAACGGCGAGAATGCCTAGAGCCAAAGCTGACGCAAGTGCCGCGTTGAACAACGATTCTTCTGCTTGCACGTAGTGGCGCAAGTTAGGGAGAGGGAGAGAGAGAGAGAGAGAGAGAGAGAGAAAAGGACCGTTTCAAGGATGAACGACGTGAACGAGTGGACGTTGTTAATTCGCCCGAGCGACAATCGCGTTATTATTATTATTTCAAAGCCTCGAGGGGGAATCGAGGAGACCGAGCTGGAGAATGTAATTATATATCGGGGGCTCTCGTGACGTGCAGGAGGATTTTAATGAAAGCGTTAATACTTCAATCGCATCATCTCGGATGATTAGATACGCCATGATTCAACATCGAAGTCCCGACTAGATTCTTGGCTGATTAGGCGCGCTTTAACTCGACATTGTAGCCCCGATGAGATTCTTGGCCGATCGGACGCGCTTTAATTCGACATTAATATTCCAATTGAGTCTCCCCTCTACCCCCTCCCCTTCCGCCCCCCCCCCCGGTAATGAGATCCGTTTTAATTCGATTCTGTACTCCACGTCGATACTTTGAAGTCGGTCCAGCGACTCGCGGCCGCGAAGGTATGCGAAGGGTCTCGTAATCGAGTCGTTTGTGCCTGAGCCAAGGCTCTAACGAGTTAAGGAACTCGAGAATGAGAACGAACGTCATCGTCAAGTGGCCGCACACGCACACGCACGCGCACGACGACGACGACCGCCGCTGCAGCCGCGCGCGCGCGGTTCCTCGTTATCCTTTCTATCTAAGCCGCCGCTTTATTAGTACCGCGCACAAATCGAGACGCTGAGTGCCACTAGAAAGCAGCAATATATTTCTCCCCGGCGTTTCTCTCCTCCACCGGAGAAGAGTCTCTCTCTCTCTCTCTCTCTCTCTCTCTCTCTCTCTCTCTCTCGTCTTCCGAGCGCGTTCGATCGCGCTCGGGGCGCGATGAAGTGACAGCGGCTTTCTTTTAGCACTCCTCGGCGAAGAGGAGCGCCGTTTCCACTCTCCTGGAAACCTTCACGGATCGCACGTCACGTAATTACAACCTACTGAACCCACGGAGCCTACTGAACCGGTTCCTGACGAATCCGATAATCGATTTACCGTTCCTCTCTCTCTCTCTCTTTTTTCCTCTTGATTATTTCAACCGCGAGGTGAATCGACCGAGCCGCCGCGACCCGGCTCATTGTCCCGACGTCGATGTCTGCCGCGCGTCTCCGGCAAATTGATCGAACACGCGTCGGCGTCGGCCGCTTCACGCGCCGCCAAGAATAAAGGGGGCGAGATCTCACCGCGACCGGGCTCCAATTATAAACGTCTTTCGTTCGGCTTAATTGGCGGCACCTCACGGTTCCAGGGCGCCTCACGAGACAATCGCGCGAGCGATCGCTTCGCACGCACTTGTGCGGAATAAGGAGCATAATTGCGTCTATCTCGCGACATCTCGACGTCTGTTAAATCCTCTCTCCTCCCCCACTAAAGAAAAAAAGTAATTTTAGAACAAGCGGAATTACGTATCTAAATTTTAGAGCTTTTTTTACTCTTTTTTACTCTTACATATGGCCTCAAGAGAATTCCTCCAAGATTAAGAGGAAAATATTATAAACACATTATTCTAGAGGGCGTGGGGGGGGGGGGGATTACACGCGGAGCAAGCCGCTTTCAAAGCTATTTTTACGAATTTTTTTAACGGAAACGGTAAGATCAGTAAACTTGAAATTTTCACAATGTATTCATTAATGTTCAAGGTATAAAATAAATTTGTTACTATCTATATGGAAAGTACACATCAAACTTTAAACGCATTTATCTGGAAATATCATTTTCTTAAATTGTCGATACGATCACGCAAAAACTACTGAATCGAATAACTTGAAATCTTTACACAATATACAGACAATGTAGTTTTCGCTCCTACTTCGAATACAATTACATTTTATTTTATTAATTTTTTTAAACATGATTACAAGTTGAAAAAAGTTTCATTTTCGATACTTTTTTTTAATACAGTCATTATTTTCTCAAACTTGGTTTCACTATCTCCATTTTGATACGGGTCATAATGATAACCGTATATTTTAAAAATCTTTCTCATTTTTCGGTTTCAGAGTAATAAGAAGCTCGGAATTATGTCGATAGCAAACATAAAACTCGCAAACGGATGACTGCATTTTTATCTGTAATTTTAAATTGGAGCGGTTCTTGTGATTCAATAAAATTTATTTTATACTTTGAACATTAATGAATGCACTGTGAAAATTTCAAGTCCATTGATCTTACCATTTCTGTTAAAAAAATTCGTAAAAGTAGGCTTGAAAATGGCCTTCCGCATGTAATTTCTCTCTTAAAGGTAGAGAAATTATATGTTTTATGTATAATGCAAATCATTGATTTTGATATAGATTTCCTCTTATATACAGATTATTTAATCTTGTTTTAAGAGGATTATTATTTATTTTTACTGTATTTTATTCTTACTGGTTATACTAGTTAATTTGAAAAAAATATAATATATAGCGAAAAGTAATATATATATAGATGTACTTCTGGCTCCAATTCTACAATGAGTAGACACGAATGAAATAAGATCATCATAACAAACAAATTTTTCCAATCGGTTTTGCTATGGACTTTGTAGCTATAAAGATGTTCATCACAATCAATTGTATGAAACATAGTTAAAAGAAAGAATATCTTATTCAACTTCTTGCAATAGATTATAAACTGTATTTGACCAAATATAGATCAGTTATCTTCGTTATATAGTATATTACAACAACATACCCTTTTTAAAAAGTGTTCCAAATATTCTGGCTCACGAAGATATGATTTTTTCGTACATGTCTGGAGGTGGAACGTGACTGAACAAAATAAGCAGACATTCAGATCAACATATTCCTCTTCATATAAGAGGAAAACAATTGGAATAATATCTAAAATAAATTTTAGATGAATGGTTCACTTTACTCGCCTTGATCGAAAGAGGAATCCTTTTCCTGCAAAAGGCTTCGCTTAGAATATGAGACTGGTAAAAATCGCGGTACAAATAGAATACTTTTTTTTTTCAGTGCCCTCTCTCTCTCTCTCTCTCTCTCTCTCTCTCTCTCTCTCTCTGTCTTTCAGCGTTCGCGAATAGAGACAAGCGTCGTATTTACGGATCGCATCGCGTCCGATTATTACCGCGGCATGCAACGCGAGAGGCTCCATGCCGCCGATGTGTATCGTTCCAGAACTCCGGTCCCGAGCTTCTCTGCTAATTCGAGCTGAAAGCCGTAAATTTCTAATTGCCGTCCCGTATCTTATGCAAATGCTCGTCGTTAAAGTCCGTCCCGAGCCGTCGGAACTTGTGCAGCGCTCGCCGGCGAGAGCAGTCTCTCCTCTTCGTGCAGCCGGCCGCCGCGCCGCCGCGCACCGTTTACTCGCGACCGTTTGCGCCGGCGGTTTCTTCCGCGGCGCAGCTTGGCGTGCTCGGAAGCGGTGCAACACTCGCGAACGTTACGAGATATTTGCGGGACGCTCTTTCGCGTTCTGCTCTGCCGTTTCTCTTTCTTTCTCCTTTCTTCTTTCTTCGATGAATAGTACTCGCGAGCGCGCGCGCGCGCGCGCAAAGAATTTCACAAGGAAGAATCGCCGAGACCACGAAAGTGTGTCTCGACCCATCTCGAAACGCGCGAAAGAGAGCCTACTTTCTTGCCCCCCGGAAATTAAATCGCGAGATCACCGCGGCCGGCGGCGTTAGTGCGACTCCGCTTGATTTGCAATTAATTTATCGACGCGCTTCAACTTCCACAGGGGACTCGGAAGCGACGCTGTGACCGACTTTCTCGTTTCTTCTGTTTCAGATCAAGCTGGAACGCGTGCTGGGCGTAACAGTCTCCAGCAATGCAGCCCTGGACTGCGACGCGACCAGCGAGCTGGTCGCTTATCCGGCCGGGTGAGTTCTGATTCTTGGCTCTCTCTCTCTCTCTCTCTCTCTCTCTCTCTCTCTCTCTCTCTCTCTCTCTCTCTCTCTCTCTCTCTCTCTCTCTCTCTCTCTCTCTCTCTCTCTCTCTCTCTCTCTCTCTCTCTGTCGTGCATTACTACGAGTACTATTACTACCATTGTATACACGCATCGCTTCGCACATTTATGTAACATTTATGTATGATCGCGCCGAAAGTCCGCGAAACCACAGACAGCGAGTCGCGTTCGTATAGCACTCGCTAAGTGTAGCTTAGCAACTTTTACGACGGCGACGATGACTTGTCCAGAGAGGAGAGCCGAGACAAGGGTTGGGCGGCCGGATGTACTCGAGGGAAGAGGGAAGAATCGCGATTTTTCCTGAAGTCGCCATCGTCGTCCGTCCGGGACACGATGTGGGAATTGCTGTGTGTCGCTTACAACGCTTACGCGGATTCTCAGGTCTCTTCTTTCCAGCTGAACTAGTGTTGCACTGGCGGTACAGAATTACCAGGTCTGTAAATATGAAACCGGAATTTGCCCATAGATGGCCCTAGCTATCAATGTAGTTACCGTCAAACCGCGTCATTCGCGCCATTTCCATTTGTTGACATCTGACAAAGATTTTCAACTCACAACAATACAAGTTTCATACAACAGCATAGTTTGTAATAGCGTTGAACATGTCGAATTTTGTGCCTGGAAGCTACGATTTGCGGACAGCATTGATTTTCTGTTACCATTTGAAGAAAACTGCTGCAGAATCGCATCGAATGCTTGTCGAAGCTTACACGGTGAGCATGCTCTTGGTAAATCACAGTGCTTTGAGTGATTCAAAAAATTCAAACGTGGCGATTTTGACGTGAGAAACGAAGAACGTGAAAGACCACCGAAAAAGTTTGAAGACAGCGAATTGCAAGCATTGTTGGATGAGGATGACGCTCAAACGCAACAACAACTCGCGGATCAATTAAGTGTGACACGAGAAGCCGTCTCCGTACGTTTGAAAGCCATGGGAAGGATCCAGAAGATGGGAAAATGGGTTTCACATGAACTGAATGAAAGACAGCAGGAAAAACGAAAAACCACTTGCGAAATGCTGCTCGCCAGGTACAAAAGAAAGTCATTTCTCCATCGAATTGTGACTGGCGATGAAAAGTGGATATATTTTGAGAATCCTAAGCATAAAAAATCATGGGTGGATGGTTCCAGGCGAACCATCGACATCGACTGCAAGGCTAAATCGCTATGGACGGAAGGCAAGGCTCTGTGTTTGGTGGGATCAGAAGGGTGTGATCTATTATGAGCTGCTAAAACCTGGCGAAACCGTTCATACTGAACGCTACCGACAACATATGATCGATTTGAATCAAGCTTTGCGTGAAAAACGACCAGAATATCAAAAAAGGCAACACAAAGTGAGTTTACTTCATGATAATGCACCATTACACACGGCAAAACTGGTCAAGGAAACGATTGAGGCGTTTAGTTGGGAAATACTTTCGCATGCGGCTTATTCACCAGACTTGGTTCCGTCCGATTACTACTTATTTGCATCGATGGGACACGCACTTGCTGAACAGCGCTTCACTTCTTATGTACGAAAATGTACGAAAATGGCTCGATGACTGGTTTACCTCAAAAGAGCAACAGTTTTTTTGGCGTGGCATCCACAAATTGTCAGACAGGTGAGAAAAATGTATAGCTAGCGATGGGCAATACTTCGAATAAAATACTTTTTATCATTTTCATACAATAAACGTGTATTTTCTATACAAAAATTCCGGTTTCATATTTACATACCTGGTAGAAGTGACGAGTACAGCAAAAGTTCATAGATGCAAAAATGCTAGATAGGATAGAAAAGAACGCCACAGTGCAGGAAACAACATAGCGCAAAACGTTATTGTAGCTGTTAATGATTCTTCAGATAAAGATTTTCTTAGGTGTTTCCAGTTAATTTCCGCTGTTTGCATTTAGATGGCTCCAGCTGCAAGTGTAGTGAACTGTGACAGCTGGGCTTCATGCTATATTAAAAGTTAGACGTTTTTCAATAGAATCCAGTCCATAAAGGTTTACTTTTGCAACCAGTGATATTGTTTTTAAATCAATATAAAATGAAACGCAATAAGTTGTTTTTTCGATATGTCCTTCTCCACTACTTTAATATAAAGAAAACTGCAACTGAAGCACATCGAATACTGGAAACTTATGGTAACTCTGTCTATGGTGCTCCATCAGAAACAACATGTAGATATTAGTTTCGACGATTCAGAAATGATGATTTTGATGTGAAAAACAAGAAACGTCCAGGTCAGCCAACAAGACGCCGAACTGCAAGCATTATTGGACCAAAATCAATCTCAAACACTCATGGAATTGGCTAAGGCACTAAATGTTGCAATTTCGATAATTTACATGCAATGGGAAAAATTCAAAAGGAAAAGAAATGGGTGCCACATGAATTGACCGAAGTGAATAGGCTGAACCGTATATCCATCGCCACTGCTTTGATTGTCAGGCAGAAAAAAAATTGTTTTTTGTACCGGATTATCACTGGTGATGAAAAGTGAATCCATTATGATAATCCTAAACACAAAAAATCATGGGTAGACCCAGGCCAATCATTCACATCGGCACCAAAACGTAATATTTATGGTCATAAAATATCGCTCTGTATTTAGTGGGATCAAGAAGACGTTTTGTATTATGAGCTCTTAAAACCGAATGAAACTCACCGATATCGGCAGTTATACAGTTTAAAGCTAGCATTATATCAAAAACGATCACAAATCGCATACAACAAAAGAAAAGTGATTTTGTTGCCCAACAATGAGCCCAACATCGATCGCATGTTGCAAAAGTCGTCAAGGAAACGCTAACAGAGCTCGAATGGGAGGTTCTTCCGCATGCCGCGTATTCTCTAGACTCCCCGTCTGATTACCATTTGTTCCGTTCAATGCAGCATGGCCTTCAAGACACACGCTTTCGAAATTACGAAGAAGTCTTAAAGTATATGGATGAATGGATTGCTTCAAAACCTGAGTCGTTTCGTCGCCACGGAATTCATCTCTTACCAGAAAGATGGGAAAAAGTAATATAAAACGATAGAAAATATTTTGATTGATTGATCAATTAATTTTATAACTGAAATAAATTTGTTTCTCACGCAAAAAGCAGCGGAAATTAACTGAAACATCTAATATTTTATCTTTATGTACCTCCATTATACACGTAGAACCTATTCAGGATGAAGAACATGATGGTAATATACTGTCATTTCATGTGGCATAACTGATTAATATTAATAAAGTAAAAACTGCGGAAGTATCTAATAATCTAATAACTGTAGGTCTGTTCTTTTCAAACACATTGCCTGAAGTGATGTAAATTTTACCCCCGCTATGTGTACCCCGCTATACCGAACTGTTTGTACTAACTCCAGACCTAGCACAAACAGCGCAGTGAACTATTGCTAAGTTCTGTTGCACTGGTGGAAAGAACAGTAACATCTGACGTCATTTCTAGAAAGGACGCTTCAGCGTACACTTGAATTAATACTGAAAGTTCAGCTGGAAAGAACAAACCTCTCATCTCGCCGTGTTCGGCGAGATCGGCTCGCGTTCCACCTAAATCGCCGTGTCGCGACGCGGACTGTTTTGCCTTCGCCTCCCATCTTCTCAATTCGCGAAACTACAGCCGCCAACGTGGGTCTAGGTTTTCGATCGGAGCGCGTATATGCACACAATGGCTGCGTTCAGCAGGACTCAGCGCTTTAGTTAAACAGTTTAGTGATACATTGCAACAGTTTGGATGGTCTGCTGAACGCTCTTTGTACTCGTCAGAGTGATACATACATATATATATATATATTTGTAAACATCGAACTAACCTTTCATTACCTGCTGTAAAATAGTTCTACATGCATTTTTCTTATTCAGCTGTTATATTTGCTTGATACATTTATTATTACATTAAAAAAGGTCTACATAATTTGAAACGTTTCTTCTTATTTTTGCTGTATTTATTCTAACCTATTATCTATAATTATCTATAATATGCATTATAGATATGCATTATGTATAATATGTATTAATATCTAAATATACTTTGATATAAGTATAATTATATATTTCATTATTAAATTATTTATATATACCTTTTTCTAATTGCTCGTGCACTCTATAGAATTTACATTATACGAGGGCGGTCCGATAAGTACTTAGCCTCACCGCCCGATGGCGCCACTATCGCAAGAGAAATTTACTATCGTGTAGTACATTCTCGTAGACGGCTACTGTCGAAATTTCAGCCGAATCGGACTCGTAGTTTTGTTTTGACCGCGTGTGGAAGCGGGCGTGTCCGCGGATTTTAGAAAAATGGAAAAAGAGCAATATCGGTCGGTGATTCGATTCTTGTTTTTGGAAGGGAAATCGCGCAGCGAAATCAAAGAGCGCTTGGATGCTGTGTACGGTGACTCTTCTCCTTCGATGGCGACCGTCAAAAATTGGTTTAACGAGTTTCAACGTGGTCGCACGTCGGTTTTTGATGAGCCACGTCCAGGTGTCCCGAAAACGGCTACCACGAAGGATAACATAACAAAAATCCACGATCTTGTATTGGCAGACCGCCGATTGAAGGTGCGCGAGATAGCTGAGACAGTAGGCATCTCAAGAGACTGCGTGGGTCATATCCTGCATGAAATTTTGGGCATGAGAAAGCTGTCGGCGCGATGCTTCAGGTGCCGCGTTTGCTCACTCCGGACAACAAGCACAACCGTGAGACCACTTCAGAGCAGTGTTTGACGCTGTTTAAGCGCAATCCGAAGGAGTTTCTGCGTCGTTTCGTGGCCGTCGACGAAACATGGATCCACTGGTACACACCAGAGACCAAGGAACAGTGGACTTCACCCGGCGAACGTGCTTCGAAGAAGGCGAAGACTGTCCTATCGGCCGGAAAGGTGATGGCCATCGTTTTCTGGGATTCACAAGGTGT